GCCCAGCGGGGACACGGGACAGGGCAGCGGGGCCGCGGGCACTGGGCACTCACCTGTCAGCCATCTGCGGGATGATGTAGTGCCCATTCTTGTGGTCTGTGTAAAGAGAGGGGGGGTAAGCAGGACCCCACGCCCCCCACCCGCCAAAGGCTGAATTTCCCCCCCACCCCAGGGACCCCCGTGCTCACCTGGCTTTCTGCCACAGAGGTAAAATGCCAGCCGGTCGGTCAGCTCGTACTGGCACTCCACCAGCCGCTCCGCCAGCTCGTGCTGGGCTGCCTGCCTGTGAGAGGACAGGCAGGAGTGATGCCCACCCTAAGTTGGCAGAGGGGGGGGTGGTCTGTAGGCAGGGGTGACCCCTTTTCTTTCCCCTCCCTCACCTGGCGTAGTCGATGGGGGTCCGGCCGTTGACATCGGGTGCCCCGGGGTCGGCGCCGTAGACCACCAGCAGCTCTGCCTGCAGGATCTGCCCGGCTTTGGCGGCCACGTGCAGCGGCGTCGTGCCCTTCTCCTGCGGGCACGGGGAACCTCAGCCCCACAGCCTGCCCGTGGGACGGGGCTCTGGGACACCCCCCCACCTCAAGCAGGTCCCCAGGGACCCCGATCCCCACCAGCACTCACCGGGTGGAAGAAGTTGGCCTGGGCACCCAGCGAGAGCAGGCGCAGGCAGGTCTCCAGGTTGCCCGTCCGCACGCTGGAGTGCAATTGCTGCAGAGGAAAGAGCAGGTAAGGGGGAGGATCTCTCCCCACCACCAAGTGGGGGGGTTCTCTGCACCCCTACCCTGTCCCCCCACCTTGCTGAGGTCCTTGGCGGTGACGCCGTCGTCGTCCCGGCAGGGCAGCTTGTGGACGAAGGCCAGCATCTGGTACTTGGCGCGGATGAACTCTGACTTGGTGGGGCTGGAAGGGGGGGTGCCCGGCAGGTTGCGGGGTTGGGGGGTGCCTGGCTGGCACAGATTCCCCCACACCATCCTCCCCAGGGCACAGGGGGGCCACTTACTGCACTTTGTCCTGGGGGTTTGCCTTCCGGCGCCCGCTCTGCACCTGGGCTGGATCCAGCAGCGAGTGCTCCCAGATGGAGTTGGCCCCGTTGCTCGCCAAGGTGTGCACCATCTGTGAAGGGGGAGGCAGAGGTGGGTGGGCTTGGGAGGGAGGGGAGAAGGTCCCTGTGTGTGTGTTTCATCCCCCCATCATGTCCCCCACCACGGGGCTGGCACCCACCTGGAGCAGGGTGGCGGGCCAGGGGCTGTGGCGCAGGTGCTTGACGATGGAGATGTGGCGGCCCAGGCTGCGGTGCACGCTGCAGCACTCGTCGCAGATGAGCACCCCGCGGTTGATGGAAGCCCAGCCGGGGTCTGCGGGGTGACACAAGGGGTGTCACCGGGTGTCCCCACCGCCGTAGTCCCCTCCCCAACCATCCCACTGCTGCCAGGAGGTGGTGGTGGGGGGATGCATTGCCACGGTAACTGTTTCCCTGGTGACAGCGAGGGGCTCAGCCCATCACCAGGGGAAACCCACAGGTTTCCCGTAGCAACCAGGCACCAGCCAAGGGGGTGGGGGGTGGGGGGCAAGATTTGGCCTCCCCCATCAGGAAGGAGGGTGGCTGGTGGCAGGGACGATGCCAGCTCTGTGGCAGTGCACCCTGAGCAGGGTCACTCTGACTGGCCGTAGCACCCATCGAGGCCATGCAGCCCATGAGCCCCCCAACTGGGCGTTTTTTGGGGGGTGGTGTGTTTGTTTGGGGGCGGAGCGTGCCCCCTAATGGGTGGGCACCCCCAGCCCACAGCCTCCCATGTAGGGTGGTCACTGGCTTTGTAGCCTCCGCACCCCATCCCCAGCCAGCCCCACAGGGCACCCCACAGGGCACCCCAGCTCT